TATATTTTATGATACTAGCACCAACCAAAGCATCTGAAATCTACCTGATATTGTGGTCACGAGAACTAAAGTTCCATTTTCCTTCCAGTGTGCATCATCTATTCCTTCATAAAAGCAGGCAGCTCCCTGGTTACACCAGAATGGTGCGTCCATGCCAGGCCGGAGATGTGGAAATGTGCAGTTCCCAAGCTGGAAGAGTTCATACCACTCCATTGTGTAGTTTTTGCCCGTCAGAGAGCTCTTGAAACCCACAGCATCATGTATAATTTTCTGGAAAAGCAAAAAAAAAAAAGCCCCCAAAGTCAAAATTTTAACATAAAACCAACTTCAGCTTGGCCTGTACAGAAGATAAGACGCTTGGGAGCTGTTGTGTAACAGGGTGAGAAGAGGTTCCTATAACATCTGGGACTCAGTAGCATTGATGCACAACATACTAGATTGTATCACACACATGCTTTTATCACGGAGTCCCACTGTCTCAGTGCTTGTCTATCCATCCATTGTAAATTCTGTTATTTGGAGGCAGATACTCAGTGGGAGCTCATCATCAAAACTCAAGCTTACTTTTGCATCCTTAACCTCACAGGGGTATCAAAGAAATAAAGAGCAGAACTGAGTAACCAAAAACAGATCTTAGTAATGAAAGCCACAAAAGGAATGAGATAAATATTTATTTTAAAAGCTATATAGTAAATACACAAATTCAACCTTAGTTTAACAACTAAGATTGTTAATATTTGAAGCTATTTCCATTTTTGACTCTGCATGATTGGTTTTGATGTTGCTATTTCATGTTCACCAGTATTTCTTTATTCATTAGGGATCATGCTTTGAAGCTTAATTATGCTGCTGCTATAGCTGTAAATATCACTAAAGTTGAGATTTTTTCATATTTGCATGATTCCTTGAATCAAGACTTTAATTCAATATTGATCATAACACCCAAGAAAGAACCATAAAAGCAATCAACCATGCTGACCAGCTAGCCGCGCACTCCTGACAGATACCCATGTTCCTGCAAATATGTAAGTTTTTAACAACAGAAAAGTTAAATACGCTAAACAAGCACTTCATCTGACATAAGGGGACAAATAAACGTGTTTTCCTGATGCAGTGCTAGCACAGAAAAAAAGACACCCACAATGTAATGGTGTGTGTATACAAAACACTCCCAATACGCAGCTCCATGGGGGAACGCATTCAAACCCACGGGCAGTGCTAGTCATGCTCTTTTCTTTAGCTGAGCTAAATTCTGTAACTTTTGTTTGAAACTTACTGCTCTTTGGGTATCTTTCCTATCGATAGCCTAGCTTGTGTGCTCCAATACCCTTCCACACAAGCATATCCCAACCTTACAGCTCCCATTCTTGACACCTGCTGTTGAATTCAGCTGAATTCGCCACTATAACTTTGTCAAACAAAAACATCGCCTTACCAAATGTCCTAGTAGGTCCCCATATTTGAATTCCCATACTGGAGCCTGTAATCGATACACTTCAATGACATCGTCTTCTTTCATAACTGGAATAGCAGAGCCAGTGGGACAGAAGGTGTAACGAGCTTGGCAGTAAGGATCAGTTTTTGGACGGTAATCAAAGCGCCTGTGTTGAGAAAGCAAAGCACACAGAATGATAAGCACAGCTTCACAGCTGGAGTAACTGTCTCATGGCTTCCTAAGGGCCTGAGTGGGAGAGCTCAGGTGTGCAGCCACCCCCAAAGAGAGACTCTGTGATCCACATGCTGCAACGCTTGGAGTACACAAGTTCATAAGGCTGCTGAGGTGCCCATCTGCGGAAACAGGACTTAAGACCTGCGAATGCGAGTCAAGTTGTACACAGTGCTGATAGCTAAGGAGTGGACATGATGCAGATTACAAAGGGTGACTTATACTCACAAAATCAGAGACACATAGATCCTGGGTAGAGGATGGTTTGAGATCTGCCTCATAAAGGTTCTCATAACAGTTTGTCTACACAGGGATTGACCGGTTTGCTCTGGGAAACTGTCCTATAGTAATAGCTCCCCAGATGGAGCTACTTTTACTCTAGAATATTGCCAATATCAGAAATAAATATTCTGTTCCTCTATGCTAATTTAGATAAAGAGGCCTAAGAACTTATGATCGCTGTTTCCATTCATTATTCCTATTAAACCTCAAAAACTGAAGACCAGATCCAGTTACATACCACACTATATACAAACAGCAAAAAACCTTTCTGATAAGTCTTCCTTTCCCAATTTCCTTCAAATTCACTCACTGTATTTCACTTAGAACAAGGTTCCTATATTCCTGTTACCAAGACAGACTGGTGTACACAGCTTGCCCAGAGCACGACCTGAAAGTCTAACACACTCAGTTGCCCAGGGCTACCGAATGGCACAAATACCCCAGCCATGAGATGACTCAAGGACACGAGTCTTCCTGAGCCATAGTAAGGCCAGCAGCCCTGCTGAGACACCGTTGATTTTCCCTGTGGACTACTTCTCCAAGCTTGCTGGGTACTTCAGCATGTCTGCCTTTATTTTGTCCGGCAGGGGGGGAGCACGGAGAGCAGGGAGGGGAAAGAAAAAAAAAAAAAAGAAGAAGAGAGTATGGCTGGAAAAAGAACACACAGTTAGAAAACAAAGACTTATGCCAGCCACGCATTTAAGTTCTGTTTCTGAATTGCACACTTTAAATTTTCAATTTCCCCTCCCACTGCACCTTGCATGTGACAAGATGGTAACAAGCATGTTAAGAAGCATTAAACTACCACATTTCTGAGTGTTTGTAGTTCCCATTTTGCCCATCCCGAGATCCAGCCTTGCAACTACTGAACTTGCTGGAAAACCCGAACGACTCGTCACTGCAAGATCGGCTCCTTCAGGCATCACCTGATACAAATTTAACTGCTAGGAATCATGCAACAGGCTTTCAAAACTTTAGGCGTGCATTAGACAGCAGTTAAACTATAACGCCTCCCTTTACAAACACCAAGCCCACACAAAATACACATGCAAGGGTAGCCCTTCTGAAGAGGCTCATTTCCTCAGCATAGCCAAAGCCCTAGCTACTCGCTTCAGTAAAATGTGATAACATGCACTCTTCCGCTTTCCCCATCAGCACCAGGCCTTCTTCTGGAGCTAGGGCAGCTCCGGAGCAGCGAACAGGATTTTATGCCATCGCATTTATCATCAGCAGAAGTATAAGGTAATGAAATAAGTCATAGCCCGACTTCCTCATCACAACTTTTTTGCTAAAACGGGAATTAAAGAAGCATCTTTAAAGCAAGGGCAGTCGTTCCCAGGAGCAGCAATCCCGCTGCTGGCAGAGCGAGCGCAGCTCTAGGCCAGGGACTGGACACCCGTTCCCCTGTACTTGTGAGCTAAACACACCAAATGTCGTATAAATGACAAACACCCGCGTGATTAAAAAGGGGAAACTACTCATGGCCTTTTTAGTCTAAAAATTAAATAAACAAACAGAAAGCTGACGGGCCTTGGGGGAGGAGGAGGCAGGCGGTTAGGCGCAGGCAGCCGGGCCGGCCAAGGG